GGTCACTGTGGGTCAGAACCAACTCAATGGTACTTAACAACAACATATATGCGTGTGTGTGTTTAGGAATCCTGGTGTGGCACTGGACTGCTGACCACAAAGTTGGCAGTTCAAACCCACCAGCCATTTCTTAGAAGCCCTATACAGGGACATTATGAGTCAGAATCGGTTTGACGGCACAAAACAACTTAACAACATATATATTAAACAGATATACTGCATATGTTTTATTATAGGCTATTTCTGTTACAATTCCGTATTATAAGTGCACTATGATAGCCACAAAATAACATAAAAATAATTTTCAATTTCATTAGACACGTTGTTTTTAAGTACCATAGAGCCAGTTCTGACACACAGCAACCTAGTATAGGGTTTCCAAGACTGCAAATCTTTGTGGGATCAGAAAGTCTCATCTTTCTCCTGTGTCATTAGACATGTTGTCATTGTTGTTAAGTGTTGTTGAGTCAGTTAAGACTCACAGCAACCCTGTATAGGGTTTCCAAGGAGCAGCAGGTGGGTTTAAACTACCAGCCTGAAGTAAGCAGTTCAGGGTTGAACCTACAGCACCACACCAATACTCTGTCATTAAACATGCTGTTGTTAAGTGCCATCGAGTTGGTTCTAATTCACAGTGAGCCAGTATAGGGTTTCCAAGGAGCAATTGGGGAGTTTGAACCGCTGATCTTGTGTTTCTAACCGACCCTGAGGTCCTGTGCTTATCCTACAGTGGCATACCAGGACTCTTAATTAAACAATGTTGTTATTAAGAGTCATTGAGTTGGATCTAACTCATAGTGATACTGTATATGGTTTCCAGAGAGCGGCTGGTGAGTTTGAACCGCCAACCTTGCGGTTCAGAACTTGTGGTCCAGTGCTTATCGTATGGTACCACAACAGGACTCCAGTAAACATTGTTGCTGTTATTAAGTGTCATCGAGTTAGTTTCTACTCATAGAGACCCTGTAAAGGGTTTCCAAGGAGTGGCTGGTGAGTTGGAACCATAGACCTTGCTGCTCAAACTGACTCTGTGGTCCAGCGCACTATCCTGAAGCACTGTCCTAAGCACCAGGACTCCTTAAACATAGACTCCTTAAAATAAAAGCAAATACATGATGCAAACACATGAAAACAGAAACTTATAACCTAGTAACCTGACTTCTCTCAGGAAATTCTGTTACAATTTATATCTGACTCTTTACAAGAATTAAACCTTTCAGGTCTACGTCTTAATTTTACATTTCTTAGTAACTGCATCTCTACATTACAAAAAAAAAAAAAAAAAAACCCAAAAAATCAAATTCACCAAAACAAATTCTACCCAGATTATTTATACCTTGTTGTTATTGTTGTTAAATGCCATTGAGTTGGTTCCAACTCACAACAACCCTGTATAGGGTTTCCAAGGAGCAGCTGGAGGGTTTGAACCACTGATCCTGTGGTTAGCAATCCAGTGCTTATCCTATAGTGTCACACAAGGCCATCCCACTGCTATTCACATAAGTTTTACACTCTAATATGTAGTGTCTGCACAGTAAAATGCAGCTTAATTGCTTGCATGCATTAAGGAAAAGAATCGTAAATGGCTATAAATGAATTATTTTGAGTATATCGATATTGTAAAGCAAATATTCTATTGGGATTAAATTTTCAATCTAGTTTAAATAGTGAGAAATAATCATTAAACTATCTCAATCAACCTTGTATATTTTTACAATCATCATAGTAAAAAATAAATAATCCTGTACCTTTCTTTCTTTAGACTTCTGTGCAGCATGAGAGGTGACATTCTCGTTTTGGTAAACAAACTCTTGTGCTACAACTGTTTTTACAGGGTCTCCTTCAAGAACACAGTTTAGAAATTGCACAGTTTGTTCCAAACAATAGCTGTCAAAAGTAAGTACAAAGATAATATCAAAAAGTGAAACTAAAAGTTATGAGGAAATATAAACATAAGCAATCCAGCAATATTTTCTAAGAATGTGAAAAACCAGCTCACTTTTAAGTGGTCAACACTACAATTAAATGCTTATTGTGTACTTCAAAATGAACCTAGGACAACTGCTAAAGCTCGAAACTAGGTTTTTAAAGGGCTAATTCAATTTCTGATCTTTTACTCCAGGCAGATTATTGACAAAAATCTTTCTTTCTTTATACGTCCTTTGCTGGAATCACACATAGTTTCAGTTTCCTTCAAACATCAAAAACAGACAATGCAACCTTAAGCTGACAGTTGGTATTGTTGTTAAGTCCGGTCGAGTCGGTTCCAACTCGCCACAATCCCATATAGGGTTTCCAAGGAGCGGCTGGTGAGTCTGAATCACTGACCTTGTGGTTAGCAATATGGTACTTATCCTACAGCACCACTCAATTTCCACATTTCACTTATACCATGGGTTCCTAAACAAAGCAACTGTGAAGGATTCAAATGAAAAACTCTATCCTACTTCCTATTTCCAAGGAGCTGTGGTAGCGTAGTGGTTACAAATCAGGCTGCGAACTGCAAGGTCAGCAGTTCGAAACTACCAGCAGTTCCACGGGAGAAAGATAAGGCTTTCTGCTCCCATAAAGATTTACAGCCTCAGAAACCCTGTACAGGGACGCTATGAGTCGGAACCGACTCCACAGCACATAGCACAACAACTTGCTATTTCCACAGTAATTAGTCATGTTTTCATGGTGATACCATGTTGTCTGTAGTACTAATTTATACAAATTGACAAACATGAAATATTCATTTTCTAATATCTAAAGAAACATTCTAAAACAAATTATAAATGATTTTATACTGCTACTCATTATTTCAGGGGGCTCTGGTAGCGTAGTGGTTACGAATCGGGCTGTGAACCGCAAGGTCAGCAGTTTGAAACTACCAGCTGCTCCGTGGGAGAAAGATGAGGCTTTCTGCTCTCCTAAAGATTTATAGCCTTGGAAAACCTGTTCAGGGTCGCTATAGGTCGGAACCGACTCGACAGCACTTAACAACAACAACAACTCATTATTTCATCCTGCTTGTGGCCCTTATCTCTTCCAAATAACAAAGAGCTGATAACATAGAACTATTTTAGAAATGTGGTGTGGCTGTTGTTGCTAAGTGCTGTTGAGTCGGCTCCAACTCAAAACCACCTTATATAGGGTTTCCAAGGAATGGCTGGTGAGTTTAAACCACCAACTCTGCAGTTAGCAGTCCAGTGCTTATATTACAGTGCAACACCAGGACTGCAGAAATGTGGTACCATTCTTCAATTTATTAAAGACAACCCTTAAAGAGGAACTATTTGGACCTACCAATTCTACTTTGCCCTGTCATCCTGCAACCTCAGCTATGCTTCTACACAGAGGAGTTTCAAGGAGCCAGAAGCGAAAAGCAATTATCTGCATCTTCTCTAGCCTTAAGACCACTCAACGTGTGTTCTCATGGGGGTGTACTAGGCTTTTTGTTGTTCTTCTTAGGTGCCATCGATCTGACACTGACTCACAGAGACCCTATGCACAACAGAATGAAACACTGCCCAGTCCTGAATCACTCTCACAATCATTGCTACACTTGAGCCCATCAGTGCCATCACTGTGCCAATGCATCTTGTTGAGGACTTTTCTTTGACTTCCACTTTACCAAACATGATATCCTTCTCATACTTTCTATATATTGTCCCTCCTGGCAATATGTCCAAAATATGAGAGACAAAGTCTGGCCATCCAAGCTTCCAAGGAGCACTCTGGCTGTACTTGTTCCAACACAGATCTGTTTGTTTTTTTGGCAGTCCATGGAACTTTCAATATTCTACTTCAACACCATACCTCAAATGTTATCAATTCTTCTATGGTCTTCGTATTCACTGTCCAACTTTTGCATGCGTATGAGGCTACTGAACATACCTTATTCCTCAGGCACACCTTATTCCTCAAACTTACATCTTTGCTCTTCAACACTTTAAAGAAGCAAGATTTTTTGACTGCTTCTTCCACAAGAATTGACGGTTGATAAAAACAAAATGAAATCTTTGACAACTTCAATCTCTTCTCCATTTATATGGGTGTTGTTCATTGGTTCAGGGGTGAGGATTTTTGTTTTCTTTACATTGTGGTGCAACCCATACCAAACTCTGTGGTCTTTGATCATCAGTAGGTATTTTAAGTTCCCTTCACTCTTAGCAGGCAGGGTTATATCATCTGCATATTGCAGGTTGTTGATGAGTCTTCCTCCAATCCTGATGCCACATTTTTGTTCATATAATCCACCTTCTTAGATTATTTGCTTAGTATACAGATGGAATATGTTGAAACAATACAACCCTGCTGTACATCTTTCCTGATCTTGTACCATACTCATTCTTCACAATGTTGTCCATAGCTTGTCATGATCCACACAATCGAAAGTCTTTGCACAGTCAAACATCTTTCTGATATTCTCTGCTTTCAGCCAAGATCTATTTGACATCAGCAGTGATATCCCTTGTTCCACATCCTCTTCTGAATCCAGCTTAAACCTCTGGAAGTTCTCTGTCAATGTATGCTTGCAGCTATTTCTGTATTAACTTTAGTAAAACTTAACTCTTATGGGATATCAATGATATCATCCATTGACTTCCTCATTCTGTTGGGTCACCTCTCTTTAGAATGGGCACAAATATGGATCTCTTCCAATCAGTTGGCCAGATAATTGTCTTTCAAATCTCCTGGTATAGATGAGTGAGTGCTTCCAGTGCTTCATCAGTTTGTTGAAACATTTCAATTTGTATTCCATTAATTCCTGGTGCCTTATTGTTTGCCAATTCCATCAATACACCTTGGACTTTTTCCTTCATTATCATTGGCTATTGATCATATGCTACATCTTAAAATGGTTGAATAGTGACCATTTCTTTTTGGTATAGTGACTGTGTGTGATGCTTTCTGCATCATTCAATAATTTGCCCAGAGAATCCTTCAACACCGCAAGTCGAAACTTGAATTTTTATTTCAGTTCCCTCAGCTTGAGAAATGCTGAGTGTGTTCTTCCCTTTTGGTTTTGTAACTCCAGGTCTTTGCAAATTTTGTTGTAATATTTGACTTTGTCTTATCAAGCTGACCTGTACAGCTCTTGTACCTCCTCACTTCTACCACTTGCTTTAACATCTCTACGCTGGAGTACAAGTTTCAGAGTCTCTTCTTTTGGTCTTTTCCTTCTTTCTTGTTTTCCAAATGAAGCAGAACTCAGCTACTGACCAAAAAGTCAGTAGTTTGATTCCACCAGCTGCTCCATAAAAGAAAGGGGTGGCAGTGAACTTCCATAAAGATTACAGCCTTGGACACCTGGTCACTGGGAGTTGAAATTGACTCAACAGCAACAGGTTTCTCAGGTATATTATGTTTATTGATAAAGAGTTAGACACTGTAGCCTATACCCCTAGTGGCATAGAAGTAGAAACTGCAGACAGTCCTTCTAGTACTCACTTGTGGTCCTGGAAAATGTCCACCAGAAAATTTCGGTTAATGGTTGGAAATATCTTGAAAAGTTGCTTCTCCTTCAATTTGGTGGCAAAATCTTTTCCAAACATAAGAGACTCCTTTTTCTAAAGAAAAACACAAAAATCACCATTAAGATGAACTTACAATGTTAATTACATTGATCCAAAAGCAGAGTTACAATGCTGCAAAAAAGATGGTTTAAAAGCAGTCACTGCCTTCACTGATTAAAGGCTAACACGAATAATAAACTATTCTAGCACTGTTCACTACTATCTATCTACATACACACAGATGCCTGGTATGGCGATGTAGGATATGCACTGGACTGCTAATTACAAAATAGGTAGTTTAAACCCACTAACTACTCTCGGAAATCCTATACAGAGTTACTATGAGTTGGAATTGACTTGATGACAACACAACAACAGCAACATTTAATCATATTATATAAGACAGGACAAAGTAGAGAAAATAAAGATAAGAATAGAGGATAAAGCTAGCAAGTAAAATTGGTACATAAACACATGTCATAAAATCCTGTACAATTGCTAAAGGTGGGCCACAAAGTCACTTCTAAGCTTCTTAGAAGCTAAAGCAAAAGGTGAAAAAAAAGATAGTGTTCATAAAATAAAATCATACCAGTTACTCAGAAGTATAGTTTTTTTTTCTGGTACTGAGTGAAATTTCTCTCAAAAATCCTCAAAAATAGGACATGTGTGATGGTGTGACAATGAAAATACACAGTCACTGTACCAAAAAGAATCTGTTACCATTCAAACACTTCAGGAGACAGCATATGATCAAGAACCTATGGTACAGAAGGAAGAAGTCTTGGCTCCACTGAAGGTATTACAAAAAAACAAGGTTCCAGGAATAGATAGGATGCAGACTGAAATGTTTCAACAAATGCAGGCAACACTGACAGCACTCACATCTATTCTACAAAATTTGGAAGACAGCTACCTGACTGACCAACTGGAAGAGATCCATATTCATGCTCATTCCAAAGAACGGTGATGAACAGAATGCGGAAATTATCAAAGAAAATCATTATTATCATATACAAATAAAATTATGCTGAAGGTAATTCAAAATTGGTTGTTGCAACTGAGGGAACTGCCAGAAACTCAAGAAGATTCAGAAGAGCATGGAACCAGGGATACCATTGCTGATGTCAGACAGATGTTGGCGGACAGCAGAGAATACAAGATGTTTGTTCATTTTTGATGACCATGCAAAAGCATTTGACTGTCATTCTGAGACACCTTTCAAGCCTCAAACGGAACTCACCCCCATGACTCAACTTTTAGCCAAACAGCAGACAGGCCTATATGGTGAACAGGAAATAACACCAGTGATGCACAAACTCCTTACTATAATCAATCAAAAGAGATCAAAAAGGCAGTATTTTCCTAGGTTTAAAGGCCGGAAGACAGGAACGGATAGAAAAGGAAAACGGAAACAAGTATGAAGAAGAGTAAGATGCGTAACATTACATTGTGAGGCTTGCAACCACTGCCACAAAAGAAAATGTGCATGAACTGATCAATGAGAAACTAATTTGCTCTGTTAACTTTCACCCAAATCATTGATAACATTGCAAAGAATGACAATTCAAGAAAATGAACCAGAGGCGGGGCTTGATGGCGACTTGGGTGGAGGTGCAGTGAAGTTCACTGTCAGCCATACCACAGAATACCAGGCAAAGCAGATCCAGGGAAGAGCTCCGAAATTCGAAACCACAGAGATAGGAATATTTTAAAAGTTTAAAGGCTTATAGCATGTGGAACTTGAAGCTGAAGTAAGAAATTGTGTACTTCTGAATCTGCCGGGCTCAGAGGCCTGGAGCTCACATCTTGAGCAAGACCAAATGGCGAGACCAAGCAGGGGAGCAGAAACACCATGGAAAAACACTGTGGGAACCTTGGAGCAAAGGTGGACAATACACTTTGTTGGTTTTGCTTTCTACTGATTTTCTTTTTTTCTTTAAAGTCACACTCACATTAGGGTCCAGAAAAAAAATTTTTTTTCTTCTCTCCCTCCTCTCCCTTTTCTGTGATTATAGACTGCAGTATTCAGTCTAGTTTTGTTTTGTTGTTGTTGATGTTGGGGTTTCTTTTTTTCCTTTTTTTTGCTGGTGCTGTTTTGCTATTTTATGCTCCCCCTTCAACATTTACAGGACTTTTTCTCTCCCTGTATTACCCAAGAAGAGTCAGCAACTGCTGCCATATAGTCAAGGTACAATCACACTCTATGAAACACCAAACCCAGGCAAGAACCAATACCAACTGCCATATACCAGGGAGGCAGACAACACCTGTGAAAGTTAACTCTGAGTTAAGCAATAAGAAGAGTGAAAAGGGAAGCCCACATCCCGATCACATCTACCTGGAAGCAACCAGAAAGCATAAAATATACCAAAATACATAATTAAGTATTAAGGCCAAGAAGCAAAAGCAGATGACCATACCAGCACATGTCCAGAAACAAGATAAAATGCCTGAGACAAATGACCTAGAGGTAGACCTGGACTCCATTCTGGAAGGAGGGCAGGCCTTGGAAATGCCTGAGAAGGAATTCAGAAAAATGATTATAAAATCTTTCAAAACACTTTACAATGGAGTTGACAAAAATAAGGAAGAAGTCAGGAAAGTGCTACAGGAACAATCAAATAAGATAGATACCACACTGGAAACAATTCAAACCCTACAGAAAGAGGTCCACGCAATTAATAATAGAATATCAGAAACAGACAATACTCTGAAAGAGCAAAAGAGTAGAATAAAAGAGATGGAAGGCAGAACCAGTGAGCTGGAAGACAAATCTCTCAATACCACTAAGACAGAAGAGCAAACAGAAAAAAGGATTAAAAAAATCTGAAGAAGGTCTCATGTTGGACAACATGAAGAGGAATAACTTAAGAATTATCGGCATTCCAGAACAAGAAGAATCACACAAGTCCACAGAGGAAATAGTTGAAGAACTGCTGGAAGAAAATTTCTCTAACATCCTGAAAGTGGAAAAATAAACATTCAAGAAGCTCAATGAACCCCAGGAACGATAGACCCCAAAAGAAAATCACCGAGACATATCATAATCAAGAGCTCCAAAATAAAAGATAAGAAGACACTCCTGAAAGCAGATAGGGAAAACAGAAGTGTTATATACAAAGGCAAGTAAGTCAGATTAAGCTCGGATCTCTCATCAGAAACCATGTAAGCAAGAAGGCAATGGGGAGACATATATAAAAACATACATTATAAAATTGCCAACCAAAGAATCCTTTATCTAGTAAAGCTATCAATCAAATACGACAGTGTAATCAAAACAATCTAGGATAAAGAGAACCTAAGGGATTTTGCAAAAGTCAACCCTGCACTACAAAACATCCTAAAAGGGAGTTCTGTGGACTGAAAACCAACAAGAACAGATAATAACCAGAGATTGACATACGTGGCAGCACCTCCCAGAATTAAATCAACAGAAGGAAGAGTCGAGAAAAGAACAAACTATAAGAACAAACTCAAAGAATCTGGGTGATTAGTCTATGATCAAAACAATTACAATGTAAAAGAAGGTAAACATGTAGGAACAGAGATCCAGATGGTGAGAAGGTCAGGTAGATTACAGGATAAAACAGACTGCACTAAATGGAGAGAAATTTTAATGGACTATAAGGCAACCTCAAAGAAAATTAATACTTCACAACATACCAAGATAATGAAAATCCAAGAAGAACATGGAAACATTAAAACTATGAGGAAACTCATAAGAAAGAACACAAAAACCATGAATTCAACAAAGGAAGACACACAGAAAAAAGAAAGCAGCAATACCACAAAAACACAAACATAATGGCAGCAATTAACCCATACCTATCAATAATTACACTGAATGTAAATGGATTAAATGCACCTGTTAAGAGACGGAGAGTGGCAGACTGGATAAGAAAACAAGAGCCTTCAATATGCTGTCTGCAAGAGACACGTCACACACACAGAGACAAAAACAGATTAAAATTCAAAGGATGGGAAAAAAACATGCCAAGCTAATTGCAATAAAAAATGAACAGGAGTGGCAGTACTAATTAATCTCTGATAAAATAAACTTTAAGGGAAAAAAACAGCATAATAGATAAAGATGGGCATTATCTCATGATTAAAGGGACAATTGAACAAGATGACATAACCATAATAAATAGCTATGCTCCCAATGAAAGAGCTCCAAAATACAAAAAGCAAACTCTAATAGATTTGAAGAAAGAAATAGATGAATCTACTATAACTATTATAGTAGTGGTTTTAATACACCACTTTAAAAATGGATAGAACAACCAGAAAGACACTTGACAAAGACACAGAAGAACTAAACAACACAATCAGCCAATTGGACCTCACAGATGTGTAGAGAGCTACCCAAAGGGAGGGTGCTACAAAGGCAAGAAGTGACTAGCTTACAAACTTTGAAGAAGGAACCTAGATCCAGAGGGCATGGAGGAAAGTAGAATCTCCACTGAGTGGTATCCAATCTGTCTGGGTGGGGCAGATGAAAGAAAATGCAGATGGGTCTCATGTGATACAATAGTGAATAATTGTTATCAGGACTGTTTGTGAGAGTTGGAAATGTAGACATTTTGTAGCAAGGAGGGGAGTGATTAACTCTGCAGTCTAGGAGCAGAGGTCCCTGGGACCATCAAGGGAGAAGAGCAGAGAGCAGGACCCTATCCAGAGAAGCAGTGACGCCAGAGATGGAGGCAGAGACGATGACATGGAGAGATGGAGCAGCTGGGGACTTCAGACCCAAAGAGGGAGAGGGGCTGTGTGCTGACGACCAGGGGACAGGCTTGTAGGGTATACCCTTTGGGTGGTTGATGATGCATTGGGGATGGGGGTTGTAACCATGGCAATGAAACAATATATGATAGGATGTACATAAAACTAATGTTCTCCCATGTAAACTATCACATAATTCCACAATAAAACATTTGGGGGAAAAAAAAAAAAAGAAAGAAAGAAAATGAACCATGCTGACATCTCTATAACACTTGTAACATAGGCTAAGAGGCAGTTGTTTGAACCGAACAAGGGCTATTGCATGATTTAAA